AGCAAATGAATTTTTTCACCCAGAGTACCGAGAATTTTTTTTTATATAAGTGCGCCAGTTTGAAAAAAATAGTTTAAGATATTTTATTTTAAAATTTACAAACGGATAAAGTCAAAATTTTATTAAAATGAAATAGAATTTTTAATATAGATATAATATAAATTTTCCCTAACCCATATCACTCTAACCTTCAATTCTACCCCCTAGCCTATTCGAATAAGTTGATTTTAGAATAAAAAAATTGTTTTTGAGTTTATGTAAAAATTAAGCAATATATCTAACTCCAAGCCACATCTACCATAAAAGATGATAATTATTTTGTATATAATGGATAATTTAAGGGGTGATCTAGCATTTTTGCAAAAACATATTATAAATATTTAATAATATCTGAATACAAATATCATTGCCACTTGTAAAAAGGAGTAACATATCATTTCTGGTTCTTCACTATTAATTTAAAATATTTTCAAAAAATATTTGACCTTTTCCCAGATTCCATTTTGAAAATGTTTGTAATATGCTCCCCGATTTTTATGATAATATAATGTGTTATCGCTCCATAATATCTACAATTAAAAGGTATAACGGAGTTTGTAGAATTCATACAAATAATGGCAAAATTAGGATTATTTAGATTTAAGGTGAGGTGGGAGGGAGTCAATGATCATTATAATGCAAATTATTGGGTTTTTTTTAGGATATAAACATTTTTAGAGTATTAAATGTGTAAAGCCATTTCCAAACAAGTCATTTTTTTCTTTAATAAAACTCAAATTAAATGGCGTCTGATAGTACAGAAAGTAATTTTTTAAAAAAAACATTTTATTATGCAAAAAAAAATTGATAAGAAAAATTATTATCCTAATTTGTTTTCTTGGAAATAAACAAAATTGTTGGAAGCGTGCCTAGAAAAGCGCTTCAAAAAATCGGTTTGTTTTGAAAGTGCCTTTATATAGTAGTTTATTTTACGTTTAAAATAAAATATTGATTTAATTCACAAATATTATTTATTTTTAAATTGTAGATAAAAAATCAATAAAACAGATCCAAACCGGTAAGTCCAAAAATACAATATAACCCTTTTAGTTTCTAGTTTATATAACATGCTCCTTATTTTAGCATGATCTCAGTTTACTTTGAGTCCTTTTTAAAATGTTTAATTGCGGGCAGTCTGTTTATTTTAAATTTTTGAACTCTTAAATTTCAAGTTCATCAGTCATCCATTTGATGAATATTTGCCTCTTAGCCCACTAGCTAAATTTTTAAAAAGTTATACCTTTTTGATAGATCCAGTAAAGTTCATATAGTTCTTTAAAGTGGCCAAGTAATATATAAGTGTTTAAAAAAACAACCTCTGCGGTCAATTTAAAAATGTTTTGTATTATATTTATATTTAATACATGAATTATTTGACAGCTAATTTCGCGTTTGCTCCTAGGATAAAAGACGTGGCCGTGGAATTATATTTGAGGCCGGAATTTTATGGGCAATTGTGCATAGAAGTACGTTGGAGTATTGAACACTTGAGAAAAAAAGAAATCTTTAAAAATTTTGTCCGTTTTTTAATCAAACTTTTACCTACCCATCCAGACATGAGCATTCATACACAAGAAGACCTTATATACGACGTAATAAAAAACAACACGTATTTTAAATTTTGATATTCATTGGGAACAATTTATTTTTTTGCGAGGATCATCATTTAATTTAATATTTTTTTATATCATATAGCAAAAGGCGACTGTTTTCAAGTTTGCTAATGTGACGCCACATCTCGAATACAGAATATCTGTGGCCCTTGAGTTCAAAGATGAAAATAAATGGATATCACTTGAACCCCATGTTACCGATAGAGTCTTTATAATTGTTCCTTGAATATTAAATCAACTTCACTTATATATTATTTACATTTGAAGAAATTATCAATTAATAGCTTTTTGCACACTTAATAACTTTAGAAACCTTTTCAGTCAGTTTTTAGTTTGATTAACTTTTATCTCAAAATTAATTATAAAAAATTAAAATAAATAAATCTTATCAATTTTAATAGATAAAGCTATTTTATGGATTAGAAAAATATGTCGTTAGAGAGTGTATTCGTTGGTATATAAATTTTTACGATTAAAAGATTTATATTAGGGAGTATTTTTTTAGTTTAAAAAATTGAAGAAGGGTATTTATATTTATATTCGAATACTTTTTTTTGAAAATTACCCTGACTCTGTCTAATATATATATTAAATTTACTATAACCCGAGTTCTTAAAGTATCTAGATAACTTCGTGATATTTAAACGTTATCTCTTTATATATTTTTATAAAAAGAATTTATATCTTATCAACATTTTAGGCCGTATATCTATATTATATTAAATAACACTTTAATTTGATATAATTTTTTTTTGCTTTTTTTAAAATATTTTATATTTAAAATATTTATTCCTATAAATTCATTGAAATTTTGTCCAATATTATTCCTTTACGATTAAAACAAACAAAGCAAAAATTATTTTAAATAATGGCTGACTAAAAAATCACAGAAAAAAAATCAATTTACTATTCCATTTTTTTAAACATTCCTTACAAACAATACAACACATCATCAAACTTTGATTTTTTTTATTATTTTAATTCAAAAAAGGTTATCATAATCATAATTGTCTGCAAAGAATGTCTTTCTATATATATATTAGAGGCCGCAGAGGTAAGACCAGGCCCGGTTTTTTTGTAAAAAAAATTATCGGTTCAGCCCGGGTTTTATAAATTCAGGCCCTATCCGGGTTTTTTTTAAAAAAAGTTTTCAGACCTGACCCGAATTTTTTAAATATATTATATTTATTTTTAATTTTTATAGCGAATAATGGCGATTTGAGCCCGGGTATTTTATTAAAAAACTTTTAGGCCCAGCCCCAGATCTCTGATATATACTATCAACACTATTTACAATTTAATCGTACAAAGAAACAAAGTATCATTTCTAGTTTGAAAATGTAAAGGTCCCTGATGGAAATGATTCATATTAATTAAAGATCGAAACTTAAAAAATGCTGACTTAACACTTTTCTAATGAACAAAACAAATCAATCAACTTATACCACTTTTTAAAAATTACGATTTTTTAAACATAATTAATAGTCTATTATTAAAAAATGATGATTTTTATTCTTCTTTATGTTCTATAGATTATAATTAAAAATATACCAATATAAATTAATATTATCAATATATATAGAGAAAATAATGTTTACCAGAGTTTCACAAATGGCTCAACATAAAAACAAAGATTTTTAATCTCTGAAGATTAAATAAAGAATTTTAAAAAATGAAGATTAATTTTAAGAATCTTCAAAGGAGAATGATCAAATTTTTCCTAAAATCTCAAATCTTGTTTAAAATGTTTTATAGCATCAAATAAATGTTTTTCTCAATTATTTTCTATATTTCAGGCGACCTAAGCAACCTACAAAAATAATTATCATTCTTGATCTTATTTCTTTGTCCTTTTGAACTTAATATATGATAAAATATATATATAATGATCAATTAATTCTATCTTTACTTTGTAATTTATTAATTTTAAACATGTTTTTGAATATCAAAAAATTATTTATAAAGTAATGTATGAAAGTTATTTAAAATATTAAAATGTTTAAATTATTTTCTTTTTTCTAATTTAAATTTAAAAAATATAATTCCCATTATTATATTAAAAAATAAAATATAAATTTAAATTAATTAAGGGTAATAATAAAATAATCTAATAGAGAGAATAAAAATTGTTTTATAATATTGGAACTGTAGGCGTAACTCAAAATAGTAACGATTCGTTTAATTTCGCTTCACTCTGAAAAAATAAACCGCTGTTATGCTTTGTTACTTTTTCAAAAAAATCTAATAATTTTGTAAATAACAAATATAATTATAGTATCGTGGACATTGTTTTTACTCTAATATATCTGAACATTTTGTATTTAAATTCCTTGCAAAATTTCACAAAATTATTAAATTTGAAAACTTCATTATATTTTGATTGCAAAACATTTTATAAATTAAGCAATATTTATTAGCTAGAACCTTTCTTACTATATAACTTGACTAATAACATCGGCAGTAGTCTTCAGCACAATAATCTAGTACCCTTCATTCAGAAATTTATCAAAATACCTGTATCACAAAAAAGAAGCCTTCTTTAAATATGCATCTGATGCCTCTATCCCTATTCGTGATCATTGTTGGATAATCGCTCACCTTCTCTTTACTTAGCCGTGGCAATTTTATAAACCAAATTTGTCCAAATTTATATAATATTTTCAATAATTTTTTAAATATAACTTGATCATGGATATTTTTCATACTTTTTTCTGCTGTGGACAAAATATTGGATATCTTTTAAGATTTATTTCATAGCAACCCCTAGACATGTCTTAATACTATTTTATACCAAAAAATATTTTTATTGAAAATCCAACGGCTAACACTGTTAGGCATTTATTTACATTATCTTAAATATACATTATCATTTTTTGGCATCTGTATCGGGGATATCGGCTTTTATCGCGTCAGTATAGATTTTTGTATCCAATAAACAAAGTAGTATGTATCTCTGATTAGAAGTGACTAAAAAATGAAGGGCCAAAAATTGTAAAAGATATGAGAATAAATTTATCAAGTGTATCGGACGGAGATCGAGGATGGGAGGGGGAAGAAATTGAAAGTAAAACAAAAACTCGTTTGGCATCTGTTAACAAGTTTGTAAGTTATGAAAATTTTTTAGTATTGATTTATGATGTAAATAAAGTAAATATTCTAAAGTCATTCAACGAAAAATTAAATGCATCTTTAAATGAGTGGGATTTAAATGATTTTAATTATTATCAATATTGTCTTACTTTTCTTATTGTTATTCGAGAGCTATTAAAATAAAACAGTTATTGTTTAAAAGTCATGCATAATATAATTTAAGCAAAAAAAATAGTTTATTTTTATACATTTTTTCCATATAATATTCCTTCAATAAAACAAAGATGTCATAAAGTAAAATAATTTTTAGATTCTTTTAGGCAAAAAAATTATGTTGCTTCCATTTTGGAAAGATCCTTTTATATAAGTATAGGTAGATGGTATCGAAAGATTTCAATGTCGCGTTGAAAACACATTTCATATGGCCATGAGTACCTTGAAAATATTAATAATATTTTTAAAAAATTATAGATAATCTCTTAGAATTCGAGGAATCCATAAGTTTTTGGGGGGAATCTCTTAAAGACTATGAGTGGAATACTTATAAAAGGTAGTTTTTGTATATGCCTTATTATTTTTGGATTTAATTTATAATTTAATTTAGTTCGTTGTCAGATATTTTTATTTTATAGCTTTTTAACCTCACAATTAAATACTTAATAAAAAATATATTGAATTTAAAATATTAAGAAATGATATCAAAAAAAAAATAGTCAAATTTATTGTTCTTCTACAAAAATTCTATTAAAAAATTGGAAAAATGGGAATTTTTGTTGATGATTTACCGAATTTTATATTTGATATATTAATTCAATTTATTATGCTTTTACCTAAAATACATCGACAATTATATAGCTTTTAGGTTATAGGGGTTAAAAATTTTGCTACGTTTTGAGGTTTTAATTTTTAATTATAAAATTTAAATGAAATATATATTTTTTTAAGTAAATTAAAAATTTTGATACTTATTGCGGTCTTTCCTTACATTTAAATAATATATACCATAGCAGTTAAAATTTGCTATTTTGGTGTCTTACCTAGCATTTACAGTTAACGCGAATTCGCGGCAAAGTATACAAAATATAATTATTCTATATTCATTTTGTATTCCGAGAATTCGCGCTAACTGTGGATGGTAAAATTTAAATATATTGGAATTAAAATTTAAATTATAAGGTTAAAAAACAGATAATAAAAATAATGGTAATCGGAAATTTACCACGGAAAACTGGATCCCATAAAAAAAGGCTCCCAAATTTTTCTGATTCTAATCAGAAAATTAAAATATAAAAACCATAGAAATAACTAATAAAAAATTAATTAAAAATTATTTTCGAGGGATACTCATATGTTCTTCATGGTACTAATATTATTAGGTGGAGACAAGGACTTTTAAAATCCCCTAAAGGAGTGACAATATTACCCTCCTCAAAAAATTTAACCCCCCCCCCTCCTATCATATTAATATTAAAAAAAGGAAATCCTAATAAAAACTGCTTCCCTCCGATTTTATTCAAATAACAATAGCATTTTCATAAGTTCATATCGCCCTCCAATTTTGATGATCCCCATAAAATTCATTGAGTGGAGATCTTCAAAATATCGATAATCCGCAAGGTCAGAAATAAAGATACCATTTTTTGTGACATGCATGCTCATTTCTGATTAAAAATGGAAGTCTCATTAAAATCTAATCTTATAGTAAACATGAAAAAAAGGCCGAGATAACCCCTCCAAATATTTACCGAATAAGTTTCTAAATTTGGCGAATGATATTATCCTTAAGCTAACAGAGGAATCAGAACTTTGAGACCTAAATCTAAGTATAACCCATTAAATTCCTGATTATTTGCAAAATTTAAGGACAATTAAAATTATATTTATGATATTATTCTTTATGTTTAAGATGATTAGAAAAATTTCGGACCAGAAAATTCTATCCGTTTTGTCATATCAGATAAAAAATGTTCATCTTACTGAATAGAGAGTTATATAAACGAATTAATCCTTAAAATTTCTAATCGAAAACATATCTTGGAATATGGGTCGTATAATAAAAATGCCGCAATCGGTTAGCGGTTTAGGACTAAATCAATTTATATAAAGCCATAAAAATCCGATCACAAAAACTTCATGTAATATAATAAATTTTTAAAAAAATTATAAATAATATTTGGAGGAATTATATTTTTTTTACCAACGGGTTCTTTAATGTGACCAATTCTTCCGAGCTTAGTTCTCAATTGCACGGATTTGAACCAATTGATATCATCTGAAAAGAAACAAACAACAAATCATATTATATATTCAATAAATGTAAATACATACTTATACCTAACACTTTCATAAATATTAAGTTGTTTTATAAAAATTATCAATTGAGCTTCTTTCTTTATACAAAATAAATAAACGTTTATACAAGTTAATTACTTATCTACTCAGCTCTCAAGTGGCATAGGCTAAGTGGATGGGATGAGGCGAAACCTACCCCCATAGAAAATGATTAGGTATGAAAAATTATTATTATAATACTTTTATATCGGTATCTAGACAAAATCTTGATTTCAAATTGATAAAACCCCCTACTTGATTTTATATTTTTAAAAAATGAAGGGATACTTCCAAAAACGCTATAATTTGTATGTGATCGACATTTTATCTTTTCTATTTTTTATTAAAAAATCTAACCTTAGAAACTGAGGGTAAAAAAAATCCCAGATGTGTTTTTATCATTTCTTATTTGATCAATAATACGTTTTTCTTTAGGCTATCTACCAAACGGGTCGAAGAATCCACAATAACTATATATATATAAGTATCAGAACTAATACTTCCAGAAGTTTGGTTGACTTCAGGCTTAAAGCTTGATGTCATAGAATTCATAACTAAGGCATATATTAACGCAAATTAATATTTCTTTGTGGTATGATGTCAATTTTTTTCTTATTTTACTAATATTTTTCCTTTTAAAACATCTACCAAACCAATTAAAGTCATAAAATACACTAATTAAGCATTACATATTGGGTTGAAATAAGTTTCAGAATTAATGTTTCCAAAAGCTTTACTAAGGGTGACATCATAGTTTTTAAATGGCTTATACCTCGATTTCTTTTTTTCGCAAGCTAATTGAGGAATTATGAGGTGATAAAAAGCCAGATATAGCACAAAACCAGATATTTATTTATATATTTTTCATTCTGGTATGATGTCAATTTTTTCTTATTTTGCCAAAAACTTTTTTCCTTCTTTAAATTGTCTACCAAAGGGATTAAAATAATATAGAATTAAGCCCTATAAATTGATAAAAATTTTCAGAATAAATGCCTTCAGTCGCTAAACCGTAAAATTGGCCCAAATTTTGTTACTAATAATTTTTTCCTTACATCAACCATTCTTTCTAAATACTCCTAATTACTTAGGTGGGAACTCAGTGAAGGTTCAAATCCTATATGGACCCCCCTTGTAGAAGTAAAATTCAGGAAAAAGTATTAGAGCAAGTTAAGATTTAATAAGATTTTGTAATACATTTTATTTTTATTCGATCTAGTTTGTTAAACGGCTCGTTTTGAGCCGATTTTTAAAAACGGCTAACTCAATATTTCATCCAGAAAAGTATTACAAAGCCTGAAGATTTTGCTCATAGAAGGAACAAAGGTCTAGAGATATATAATCGAAATCTCCAGGCTTAGGCAATATTTTTCTGGTTAAAATATTGTTAAAAAAACGGCTCAAAATGAGCCATTTAACAACACTAATTCGATCTGTTTAGCAGAGACCTGCAGAGGCCAAAATTTCAGGCCAAGCCCTGATTTTAAAAAATTCATTTTTAGACCTAGTCAAAAATTTCATTTTCAAGTCAGGTAAGAGATTTTTTATTTTAAAAAAAAAATTGGCCCACCTGATTTTTGAAATAATTTTTATAATATATTATATATTCATAGTTTTTTTTTCTTATATAAAATAATATCCATCATTTTTTTTCTAGGTATAAAAAAAATTATAAACCTAGAACAATATCTAAATTTACAAGCAAAAAGGTGTCCTATTTTTAAAATATAAAAACTTCTCTTTTTAAGTAATAATCGATCGTTCTGTATAACAATATTTATATTTTAAATTAAAACAATAAAAGACCGGAAATTAATAGTAAAATAATGCGGGAGAAGGTATTTAAAAATAACCTGTATTGTAAAACATGTTTCTAATTGTAACAGAGTGTCCATTGATTTTGTAAGCTTGCCCGCTTATAATAGCCCTCTTAACTATTATCCTTTTGGGATCTATATTGAACAAAGAACCTTGGGCCAATAAGTTATCGCTAGATATGTTGTCTAAAAATTAAAAAAATATATTAATATATTTAAAAGAAAAAAAAAATTTAATCAAAAATATATATATTTGGAAGCTCGGTTCTTTTTTAAAAATAAGATTTTTTAGTAGGCTATAGAGGTCTGCAATGGGCGAGTTTTTAGCCAAAAAGACCGCCCACTCGTTATTATTTAACCAGCCCACACGCTCACACATAATTTTTTCTTTAAATTTATCCGCCTGCCCGCCAATTTATCGATAAAATTTGTTTAATCCGTCCGCCCGTCAAATGTTTAAAAATTATTTTAATGACTGGTTTGGCTCTTTTTTATTTATTTAAATGTATTTTTAATTAAACATATATAATTTGCAATATTATGAAATAAAAGTATTATTTTTAATAAATTGTAGTCTGTTCTGCTTATTTCGCCTGAAAAATATCAAAAGTTCGTCCGCCCAAATTTTTTTAATCCGGCCACTGGTCCGATGTTGAAAATATTTTAAAGAACGCGGGCGGGCGAAAAATCCAACCAATGCAGACCTCTAGTCTAGAGTTTAAATCGTAACCAAAATTGATGGAAGTGGAGTAAGTTTAGAGCTTCTTACAGTAATTAAGGGGAAGATTTTAAAAATCTTTTGCTAAGAAAAAAAAAGTAATAATTTTGCCTGATTTTGAAGGTGGTTTAAAAACTAAGATGGGCACGTTTGTCATGAATATGTTTGTGAGCATGCTGCATATATAATTGTCATTATTGTCCAACTTGTAATACCTCTCGAACTTGAATTTATTAAATAGAAATGATTTATAATTATGGGATAAATTTTGCTTATTAAACCAAAAAAAAGTAAATATACAAATGGATGAGTAAACATTATAGCTGAAATTATTTAACCACTTCTGTGATTGAAGTATGGCTACATTAATTAGAGTTGCAACATTGGGAGCCGTTTCATGTCAATGAAGGTATGTATCTGTAAATAGGCGTAAAGTCCAATCATTTGCCATAAATAAAGTATAATTGTGAGGCTATTGATTCCCTCGGTTGTCGGGAAAGATAAAATTAAGGAATCACAGATATGTTAACTAAATAAATAAAATCGACCGGGTAGAAATATTACCTCCAAATCCAGCAAACACCCCATAACCATTATCATTCACTCTCTCCACGACCAACCTTCCTATTAGCTGTATCGACAAAAATACCCGTTGTCGAGCTACTTAGTCAGGCGCTGACAAATTTAGATGCTAAGGGTATTAGGAACATATTCACACATTCCTAACAATTTGTTATGAATCCATACCAAAAATATATACAGGATGCCGATCGGTTGCAATTCCAAATCGTGAATCTATACTTCACAATGTTTCAAATTAAATAAGTAATATAAAAATCTATTAATATATTTTCTTTCTTTGGTGTTACTTTTATTATATTCATTATGCTATGTGTAATATTTATAAAAATTCGGCGTAATAAAAATAATGATTATTTAAAATATTTATAAACAGTTTTTTTAGTGAATTAAATTTTAAGGTTCCAAGAGAGGCCCACTTGGCGCAACGTTAAATAATTTTGTACAATAAACCCATTTGTAAAATAATAGATATAGTAAAGAGATTAACACTAGAGATTTTATAATGTTTCGCATTATTGATCATTTGAGATCAAAAAATTAAATTAACAAATATTGTGTAACCAAGAAAATAAATAAAACAGACATGTATATATATATAAACTTTGGATTATATTTTTAATAATTAAACTGCCAAGATATAATAAATATTTGTCACCATGGAATAAAATTAGCCTCTAAAGTGAGGTTACATTCTTATCCTAAATAATAGGAACCTATAAATGCTAATAAAATGATTAATCAAATATACAATACCCATTATTAATCGAAATTAAGTACTCACTTTATGCTTATCGATGTTGAGGGTGTGATCAGAAAATATGGGTTCGTTATAAAATCTTCTAAAACCGACTTGGAATAACAATTTAGATTTCGACTTTATTTTACATGGTTGTTTGAGGACATCTTCACCCAAGGCCAGTAAATCGGTAATTGAGCCGGAACTTGTGCTTAGGTTGGAGTGACGAGAGGTGGAAGCGAAGGATTTACGAATAGCGAAATTGAGCATGGAAAAGTTTTGTTCGTAAGGCAATAATCCGAAAAGGATCAAAGGACCGACCCGAGTTTGATATGCTTCTACATTAAAATAAAAATTGGTACCTTAAATTTTTTGTCCTAATTTTTTTATGACACTGGCTGATAACAAACAATTGTTTTCATATTAAAATAGTCTGTATATTCAAAATGATTTTTTTAGGATAAGATAAAAAGGCATCAAAATACCACAAATATTTAAGGGGACTTCTGGAAGAGTCAAAGTAAAATAACAGGAAGTCAAGGGGTTGAGATTGCATAGACTATTGTTGCTTGATGTTCTGATATTTTTATCGTTCGTTTGTCCATGTTCTTCGCCAAGTTTTAAATCCCCTTTAATTAAAATTGTATTTTAAAAATTCTATAAAAGATTTTGCAAAAAAAAAATAGTCGTCATAATAGTTAATCAGATAAAGATTAATATCTCAATTTTGCAGGCGGCTATAACTTATTCTCATCTACACTAATAGCCAACGTCAACTTTAAATAGCTACTTATAGCTTTTCTCACTTATTTTTTAATGACTACGACTATTAAGTTATTTTTAAAAGCTAAAGAGTCGGCTAAACTTTTTTTTCAAAAAAATCGCGTTAGATTTATTTACCACATTTACTCAACATATCCTTCCACTGCTCCTCCATAAAACGTTTGCCATGAGAAGTAGATCTTTTCAAATTTTCGAATTCCGTGAGATGCTCAAAGGCTTCGGGATAGGAGTCCGAAAATTGCCAGGAACTCTCCTTGAAGCTTTTCAAACCCCTGTACTTTGACAAGCGGACCCTGGCTTGCATGCTAGGGTTAATATCAAAACTCTCGCCATTCAAACTAATCGCGTCTTCGTTTGTGCCTTCCATCTTTCCATTTTCGTGATTTATTTGGCTATCGATCTAGAAAATATATGAAACAATAACTGTTATAAGATTTTGATACTAAAAAATCGATTTAACCTTTTATAAATGTATATATTATAGGCCTAAGAAACGAATCATTCGTTATTAGTATTTTTATTTTACGAAATGGAATACATTCAATCAATCTGATATATTTTTGGTAGGCAAATAAAAGATATGATAGTTTGGTAATGACTAAAAAATACGGCTAATTCGGCCTATTCTACGGTCGGAGGCCGAAAAAAATTTACTATGAATTGCGCAGATTAATTTATGCTTCCCGAAAAATGAGTCATTTTTAAACATGAGCCTATAGTTTTAGGCTAAAAAAAGTTTAGCCCTTTTTTAACCGGTTAAGAATAGGCTAAAACAGTTAAGAACAAATTACCCAAATGATTGACAAATTACCTCTTCTAGCATTTCATCGTTGAATGTGACGCTCTTTTTAACAATTTCCGCATCAGTGATGAGAGTATTAGGCTGGCCATTAGAAATTATCGTGCTTTGGTCATCTTCGATAATCTCATCTTATATGAATTAAGTTTATTTTAAAATGTAGACTTTAAAATCATGTAAACATATGCAGAATATCTTTAAAAAAATTAATTTTTAAATCCCTTTCTTAATGGTGTTTAACATAACACAGGTAATATCAAAATTAATTAAATTACTTGAGACATTTTATTTACGTATAAATGCTGATTGATGGTCATCAACCAGGATTATTTTTAGTATTTGACTATTAACTGGTAAAAAAAAAAAGATAGTATTTAATATTTATGCATAAAAACCTTCATTTGTTTTTTCCTCCATGAGTTCATCTTGTTTCTGCGGTGTATTATAAAATAAGCTTCGTTTGACTTGATCGGATTTGCCAATAATCTAATTATAATGTATTAGTTAAAAATATTAAATAAAACTCAATGAAGCGATTTTTTAAAATCCCAATAGTGTGTGAAGGAGGGGGGGGGGAGATAACGATTTTAACAATTAATTAAATTTACACTAATCTTAATTGGAATCAGCATAAAAATCTTATTAAAAAAACCTATATTATATTATGTAGCATTTTACTCTGTATAGCAATATTTCTAATTTTCATACTCAAAATGAATAAATTTTAAAGTCAAAATTGATACAATTGAGATTAAAATACTTTCGCAGGAACTAACTTTAATCCGTTCCAATAATTTTATCATGGCGATCTCATCGTAAGCTATTATATTCCCTTCTTTTCCATTTAATTGTGTAGGCATATCTGCGATTTCCATGGTATCACTCAGGCCCACCGAATTTTTACGAATTTTATTTTTAGTATCGTTGTTGTTATTGTCGAAATAAGGATCAGGGGAGATGTGATCGACTTGGCCGATTCTGAAATCCCCTTGTAACGAATCCTGAGATACCCAAGTGGGAATATGAACCAATTGATCTGCCACGAATGGTTTTTCCATATTTTTCAAGAAACCAGATAGTTTTACAGTGGCAGTTTCTGTGTCATGATTCTTGTATTTACGATATATATCATTTTAATCAAATAATATAGTCCATTTCATAATAAATTTCGGCACTAACTTGATATTTTTTTTTAGAAAAGAAGATGGCTAGGCATCAAACACTTTTATAAAGTGAAGGCGAAATATCCTTCAAAATTTATTAATAAAGAACAATAATTTTTTTAAAAATTACGTCTATACAAAAAAAACGGGATATTAACGTTATTTTAATTATTAAGCCTCATTGCGTGAATTCGTGGTAAACTATACAAAATATGCTGTATTTTTGTGTATTTTTATATACTTCACCACGAATTCGTCTAACTGTGAATGCATATGATCATAATTTGGCATTCAATTTCAAATTACAAACATATATTATTGATGTTAAAATCGGAGTTTAGAACCAAAACCAGAACCATTTTTTTAAACTTTTATGAACCGAAGAAAACTAATATTTTAAAAAAATATTCAAAAACTAAAACATTTTTTTTGGCCAGGATTCAAATTAAGGTTAAAGCTAAGAAATAATAAACTTGAATGATTTGAATGTGATCTGCCATCATGAGAGGCCTCTCGCTCAACCAATGCACGGTTTTACGTTTTTGATATGCTATTTGTCGAAGAAATGAGTCCGAGCATATTTTACTGGCATGTAATATTTCTGGATTTGGGACGCTTGTAATATAAAAATGATTTATTTTACCATAATTTGGTTTGAAAATTTTTTTAGGAGGTAAAATGCTTAATGAATTTGACTATTCAGGAAAGAGTGGCGTCTAATTTAGGGACACGTTTTTGGTCTCAAGTAACGTCACTAGGGAGAAGGTGCGCAACCTCTAAAAAATTTTAAGAGCCTTCAGGTACAAATTTTTATACCTAAAAAAGGTTATTTAAACTAAAAATAGGTCGCTTTGAAAATCTGAAAGAAAAAATATGTAATTTTTTTTAAAAAAGAGCCCCTCTGAGATTGCTAAGGCTAGTGATGCCATTGTCCCAAGCCATTTCCCATTTTATTATTAACCTTACTTGCTAAGGAATGTTATTTATTATAAACAAATCGGACCCATTGGAGCTTAAAATTAAATATTATGTATGAAAAATATGTTTATAACGTTTTTGTATAATGTTAAAATTAGGGGTGTACCGATACCACTTTTTGGAGGCCGATTCGATCCGATATTCCAGATATTAAATTGATATAGGCCGATAACCGATCCGATATCATATCTAATTTTGTATTCTGTAAAGATACCAATGGTTTTAATTTGTAATATACTTTTTATTAGTATAACATCAATAATTTAATTATACCATAACTTATGTCATTTAAATACATTATAATGATCAGTTATAGTTTATATTTAATTCTATTGCCTAAAAGTATATAAATATTTTTATTATCAATCACTTTTATATAATAAGTAACAAAATTAATCTATATACATAATAAGTAATAAGCAAATATATTATTAAATTTAAATAAATATTTAACATTAATATATCGAAGATTTCTTTTTAGAAATATCAAAATTTCCAATTTATCAGAAATCAGCCTACGGCGATGGTAACTGTCAATATCACCAGCTTCACTAAAAACAGATTCTGAAGAGATTATAGCACACTTTTATAAACAGAATGCGCAAAATAATAATATGGCAAAAAGTTTATTAATTATTATTATTTAAAAAAATATGGATTTCGATTTTATTTATAAAAATAAATGATTTTAGATATAACTTTTTTAAAAAAATTTATAACATTTTATTTTTGTTAAGGCCGCCATTTTATATCGGATCGGATCAGAAAATTTTACAATATTGGCCGATAACTGATATTTTATAATAGGTGAAATATCGGCCCGATACAATCCGATAAAAAATATCGGTGCATCCCTAGTTAAAATTATATTAGGCAGGTTCTATTTTATCAGTAAGTAACCTTTACAGAGGTCTGCATAGGTCAGGCTGGGTCACATCCAAGCCTAGCTCATATGCTGTGCTAGGCAAATATAATTAAAAATGAAGATGGACTGGACCAGGCTTTTCAAATTTTTTATGGGCTTGGGGTAAGGCCAATGCTAAAAAATTTGAATGTTTTAAGAAAGTCAAAATATCCATAAGCAAAAAATATAAATATTTTTTTAGATTGTGGCCTGGGTGCCTAGATTTTTTAACAATATGGCCTGCGGTAAAATTATTTTATTACACTGTGGGCTGGGATTAAATGTTATTTATGGATCTGTTCGGCTTGACAAAAAATTTTTCTTCTTGCAGATGTTCTGGCCTCATTTATTGATTATTTAAGTAAATGTTGTTACAATGAAATAACTTATAATTAAAAAAAGAATGCATCATATTAGAGCCAAAATACAATATAATAATTGTAAATATATGGCATCTTTAAATTAGGCTATGTTTTTATTTATTATAAAAATATATATAAATTGTATTTTACTATTTGTGTAGCATTTCATGGTACAATTTAGCAAAACCTTTTTTGTAGCTGTCTATATAGGAAGAAGATTTATATGATAGTGCGTCATCATTTTCATCATTCTATAAAAAAAATTATATTATTATTGATTTATTGTTAAAAAATTAGATTAATTAAAAAATAGATTAAGAAATAATATTTCTCTTGATGAATAGGTATAAGGAATAAAATAATATTGATAACAATACTGAATTTACATCATATATAAAATAAGAATTTGGCAAGCCTTGCGATATTATACATTCCAATAAATTGGTGTCAGTGTCATTTATAACAGATTGTATATTTTTTCTGACAGGGGGTAGTAAGAATAAAAGGACATCTGATATCTTAAAGTAAATCAATTAATTTTAAAAAATTATATCTATATATATATATATATTTTAATAATATTTATGTATAATTAAGAACATGCTTTATAAAATATAATACTAATACTTTTGCCAAATCAAGTGAATGAAATAAGTTAGATAAGCCTTTATCTGTATTAGATAAAAATTGAAGGCAGAATTTCGATTTCAGTTTACTATAGCTATGTTATTACAATGTTGTATAATTTATTATTATATATCTCAACTTTATATAATGTAATCCCTTTTGTGTTTTTAAAATTTTAACATGGTCATCATCTTGAAAATTTAATAATTTTGAAATAATTGAAGTTACTTGGATATTATTTTGGGTATTATACAATGGAATAACTGTCTAAATATTTTATATAGAATTTCTAAAATAATTATGAGATACAATATATATTGGACATATAACATCTTTGCCAATGTAATTAGACTTTTCATTTTTCATTATTAGTAACTTATTTTTTCGAATTTGATTTTTCTATAAATTTTATTTATTTTATTCTATATTAATTGAATATTACTTGATTCATTTTATCTAATCGAGTTTGCAACTTTTTTGATTTTTTAGTGTTTTGTGAAATATCTAATAAATAATTTATAAAAATAATGCTTATATATAACACCTTCAAATTTTCCTGATTTCTTTTTATCTTTATTTTTACCAAATCTGATTTTGTGCTTCTTATTAACCTGTTTAAAAGGCCCATGTTTATGTTGATTTGATTTTGCCATGATGATAGGATGGAAGATAAAGTGTTAAAATGAATTTTCAAAGATACAAATTTCGGTAATTTCAATCAGCGTCTACATGAACGGGGGAAGGGGGGTTAGGAACAGTTTGCACCCTATAGATATAATATAATAATATTAGGTGTCTTAATCTGAAAATTGGTAAAATTGTAGAGTATGCTAATAAGAATAATTTGTAATGCAACTATACAACAATCCATTAATGAAGATAGTAAAAAATTACTCGATCTTTGTCAAAGCAAAAACTTTAAAATTGAAAAAACATTTTTTCACCATCGTGAGATAAACACTTATACTTTTGAAGAGCAAATCAGAAATCCCAAATAGATTTGGGTGGTTTGATGATGTTATAGTATCTACCATTGGCGTACGCAGCGGGGGGGGGGGGCAGGATGACAAATCCCCCCCCCCCCAAAGCCAAAAAATGCAGATGCCGGATTATATTTTTCAAAAATATTATTGTTAATATTAATTTATATTTGTTAATATTTATTCCTATCTCATATATTTGTTAATATTTATTCCTATCTCATATATATATATATTTAATTACAATCACATTCATCTACTAAGTTATTTTATCAATTAATTTCGATTTCAAGTTTTCCTTGGTGTAATTTACCTATTATTTTCAAATTTTAGTGGCGTAATATTTATCTAAATTTCTAGTCAATTAATAATTATCTCTGAAACTCCTTGTCCAACAGGGAGAAAGAAATTGCAATGTTGTCCAACGAGATCGAGTCTCCACCATCAAGCAGTAACCGCTATTATGGAGTATGAAGAGCCGATTATTAATGCTATTACTAAAATATCACAATGGCTTGAAAGAAATATTTCCTCAGAAGCAAGAAAATTATTGGATTCAATACTTATTCCAAATTTTTTTTCTCATTAGAATGTATTATTTAATTTTACAACTATTTTATGTAATACTTTTCAAAAACATATTATTTACTTGATTAAGAAGATGAGAATAGCGGAGAGCATATTATTAGAACTCAAGGAAATCAGAGCTAATGTTGATGAAGAATTTCATATTTTATATGTTATTGTTGAGTCAAAAGCAGAGCTATACGTGTTTAATATTTGTCCCCCTCGACTTGCAGCAAGCAAGCTCATCGTCAAAACATTAATATAGGATCGGTAGAAGAATATTAAACAAATGTCCCCTCTCCCAACCTTTTTCATATGGTGATAGAAAAAAAATATAAATATTTGTTAGATTTTTATCGTGAAGATGTTAAAATATCTTATGATGCCTTATCAGCTGAATAACTATGATTAAAAGATTAACTATGGTTGATACGTCCCATAAATGCTATGGATGCTTTGCATTATTTCAAACACATTTTAGATTATGCTCCCAATGTATTAAAATGGTTATATATATATTAGCAGCTCTTTAGTAAACTAATGAGAGAACATTCTCTTTTTTAAGAAGAATAACAGAGCCTTGCAGAGGTACCATTTGCAGGACACGGCCCAGATTCTTTTTAAAAAAATTTTCCGGCCCTGGTTTTTTCTAAAAAAAATTTCAGGCCCGGCCCGGCTTTTTTGATTTTCAGGCCCAGCCTGAATTTTTTTAAAATAAATTATATTTATTTTTGATTTTTATAGCTAATAATGGCGATTTTAAATATTTGGTTTTAAAATATATAGCTCGGCCCGGATATTTTTTCTAAAAAAATTTTCAGGCCCAGCCCGGGTGTTTTTTTTTTAAAAATTATGGGCCTGGCCAGGGTATATTTAAAAAAATTATAATACGGTCCGGCTCGGGGGCCAGGCCTGTAAGTCTGTGAAAAACATACTTATGAAATACAACATCTGAAAGTAGATTGAATGATTTGGATCTTTTGAATATTCAAAGGCATTTAACGCCAAGCAAGGATAGATAATTGAAAAATTAGCTCAAAACATACAAAATACAATTATTCCTAAGAAACTTTTTGTGTATTAATTTATATTTCCAACATTTAAATTTTTTATACTTTATATATTTTAAAAGCTCAAAAAATTCAAATTTCAAATTTCAATTTTGGGTCATTTAAGTGATTCATATCGTGGGTTATAATCACTTTATATTTTATAATTCACATTTATTTTATAGTTTTTCAATGCCGGTTTATATATATAATTTTTTTAATTCACATTAGTTTAAAATTGTGTATATTAGTCCTAATAAATTTATGCTTAGTATTTTTAATTAACAATAATATTTCTTAAAAAAATTTATTATCCCCCCCCCAGACCAAATACCTGCGTACGCGCCTGGTGTCTACTAATATTAAATTGTCAGATCACAAAATATTAGTAGCCAAAATATCTATAAAAAATATGTGGGGATACCATAATGGGGTCAGTCCAAATACATCTATTCACAGGGCAAATCTCTTAAAACCCCTCCTCTCCAGAAAACAAATTAAAGCTCAGTCGCAAGATGATTTGCTGCTTTTCGATCAAATACTTGTCAGGAAAAGAGATAATTTTCTAAATATAACCTCGAATGGAAGTATTGATGAATGCTGGAACCTTTTCAAAAAAGATATTACAGATTCTTATAATAGACTACCAAATATTAATATTTATTCAAGGAGTGAATGGTTAATGAGACAATACCAAAAATTAGTCAGCTTAGAGAAGGTAACAAACTGAATAAAGAATTATGGAAAGATTTACAAAAATTGTTAAGGAGCGATAGAAGGAGATACATTTCAAAAAAAGCCTTTGAAATTGATAAAGATATGAAAGAAAATAAAATCTATGATGCTTATAAAAAATTGAATTATTTTTGTAAACCGTACAGCTTTAAGAAACTTCCCTATTTAGTCTTAGCAAATGGAAAGCAAATTTCGGATCAAGACAAGCAAATAGCTTTATGGTTAGATTACTATATGAAGGTCTTCGACTCAAGAAAAGCCGTCTGATAACGAATATAAGAGAACACTCAATCCCGCCTCCGTCCGGTTTCTCCACTGTTGAAATTGGGAAAGCAATCACTAACCTGCGTAATAATAAAGCCCCTGGGCTAGATAAAATAACGGCTGAACATCTTAAAATAGCACCAAACACTATATCCTCCTATCTATACCTCTCTTTAACAAAATCTGGGATAAACATCTTAAAATAGCACCAAACACTATATCCTCCTATCTACTACCTCTCTTTAACAAAATCTGGGATAGTGGTGAAACTCCCAAAGAATGGAATATCTCTTTATTATGTAATTTCCCTAAGATAAAAGACCATAAAATATCAAAGATTATCGCGCGATTGCCCTCACATCTACTGTGTCTAAAATATTCATGGTTCTGATAAAAAACAAAATCATGTCATCTCTACCAACCTAGCTTCCGAAATATATTTGTGCCTACAGACCAAAGAAAAATATACTAGAACCAACTTTAGCACTAATAATAATAATGCAAAAATGTTGGAAATATAAAATTCCTTCCTACTTCACTTTCGTTGATTTCAGCAGAGCTTTTGATAATGTAAATCATGATGCTTTATGGAAGACGCTGCTGGAATGCGGGATTGAATCAAATATAATTCACATATTAAAAATCCACTACACGAATCTTACCGGTTGTATCAAAATCAACAATAAGACATCCCCCCCCCCTTTTTAAGATTAAGAAAGGTGTGAAACAAGGATGTGTACTTTCACCTCTTCTTAATCTCATAATGTATAAAATTATAAATGAAGTCTTGGGAGCCACGAGTTTAATGGATCTGAGCTTAAATACAAAGTGACATCTTGAAAATAGGTTAATATCATATGCCGATGACATCGCTGTTGTGTCTTTAAGCATTAAAGAAACGGAAAATCTGTTATACCTACTATAAAATTAAAGTAAAAATGGGTTTGAAAATAAATTTTAACAAAACAGTCATTCTTCCTTCTTCTAGTATAGCCCAAAATCCAAATATCATAATAGGTGGTAATATTATTGAGATAGTAGATAAAATTAAATACTTAAGCATAATGTTGGACAACAAGGGCTGCTGTAAAGAAGAGATGAAAATTAGAATACAAAAGACAAAAGAGGCTTTTTACAAGTATATGAAAATATGGAAAACAAAGGAGATCTTTGTTTACACCAGCCTTATAATTTTTAATTCTACAATTATCCCCATATTGCTTTTTGGGGGACTTATGGGAATTTAATAAAGCAGAAAATAGGAGACTCCAATCCTCTATAAATAATTGTCTTAGAATCATAAATGGCTTTTTTTATCCGAAGGTTATATAAAATAATAATTTATGGAAAACATCTAAACATACTCCGATACACATCACCCTGAGAAAACGCCGCATTCAATTTTTGGCTCATATCATAAGAAATTCGGATCAAAATTTAGTTCATGATGCCATTACATGGATTTACACCTATAATAAAAAAGAATATACAAAATATAAATCTCTGGTACTATAAGACTATTAAAGATGTAATGGAGTTAAATCTAAATATGAAACAATTTATCAAGTTAAACAACTGCAAAAATTCCATAAAGAAGCTCTTCAAAATTAAAGACAAATATTTTAAATGAAAAATATCTGGGCTTGTTTTTATAATGTTAATTAATCTCAACTAGTATTTTCCAAACCTTTTCAGGACTTCAGGACAAACCGAAATGGAATTGGTATGCTCTTTAATTTTTTTTTTAATAGTATGAAATCACAGCTTTAATTATAAAAATTAAATATAAAATCAGCCACAACCCTCCTTTAAAGTAATTAACATATACTGCAGTTCTTGGGCATAGGCTCTTTTTTTGCCCCGCTCTTTTTCTTAAAGCCTATGGACGTCTGTAACATTTTTCGAAATGTTGCGCGTACAAGTACGTGCGGCTTGCCCACAAACGTGTAGAGGGCCCCTCATATTTTTTTTAAACTTACACCCCAATTAACTTATGTTCCAATTAGATGGAAATGAGGAATACCTAGCGTAGCTCTGTTGTTTATTCAACGCCAGAGGGCATATGCGCTATATATCACG